TTTTATGCAAAAAGCCCCGTCTTCCCTGAACTCCTCTTACATTTTACACAGTAGCCTAATCATCTTTTGGGAGATGGTTGATGGTGTCATGTAGATATGCAATAAGGTTTCGGAATGTTGATTTTGCCCCGGGGGGTCAAATGGGGGTCCAAAAATGACGTTTTTTTATGCAAAAAGCCCCGTCTTCCCTGAACTCCTCTTACATTTTACACAGTAGCCTAATCATCTTTCGGGAGATGGTTGATGGTGTCATGTAGATGTGCAGTAAGGTTTCGGAATTTTGATTTTGCCCCGGGGGGTCAAATGGGGATCGAAAAATGATGTTTTTTATGCATAAAGCCCCGTCTTCCCTGAACTCCTCTTACATTTTACACAGTAACCTAATCATCTTTTGGGAGATGGTTGGTGGTGTCATGTAGATGTGCAGTAAGGTTTCGGAATTTTGATTTTGCCCAGGGGGGTCAAATGGGGGTCGAAAAATGATGTTTTTTATGCAAAAAGCCCTGTCTTCCCTGAACTCCTCTTACATTTTACACAGTAGGCTAATCATCTTTTAGGAGATGGTTAGTGGTGTCATGTAGATGTGCAGCAATGTTTCGGAATTTTGATTTTGGCCCAGGGGGTCAAAAGGGGGTCGAAAAATGACGTTTTTTATGCAAAAAGCCCTGTCTTCCCTGAACTCCTCTTACATTTTACACAGTAGCCTAATCATCTTTTGGGAGATGGTTGGTGGTGTCATGTAGATGTGCAGTAAGGTTTCGGAATTTTGATTTTGCCCCGGGGGGTCAAATGGGGGTCCAAAAATGACGTTTTTTATGCAAAAAGCCCCGTCTTCCCTGAACTCCTCTTACATTTTACACAGTAGCCTAATCATCTTTTGGGAGATGGTTGGTGGTGTCATGTAGATGTGCAGTAAGGTTTCGGAATTTTGATTTTGCCTCGGGGAGTCAAATGGGGGTCGAAAAATGATGTTTTTTATGCAAAAAAGCCCCGTCTTCCCTGAACTCCTCTTACATTTTACACAGTAGGCTAATCATCTTTTGGGAGATGGTTGGTGGTGTCATGTAGATATGCAATAAGGTTTCGGAATGTTGATTTTGCCCCAGGGGGTCAAATGGGGGTCCAAAAATGACGTTTTTTATGCAAAAAGCCCCGTCTTCCCTGAACTCCTCTTACATTTTACACAGTAGCCTAATCATCTTTTGGGAGATGGTTGATGGTGTCATGTAGATGTGCAGTAAGGTTTCGGAATTTTGATTTTGCCCCAGGGGGTCAAATGGGGGTCCAAAAATGACGTTTTTTTATGCAAAAAGCCCCGTCTTCCCTGAACTCCTCTTACATTTTACACAGTAGCCTAATCATCTTTTGGGAGATGGTTGATGGTGTCATGTAGATGTGCAGTAAGGTTTCGGAATTTTGATTTTGCCCCGGGGGGTCAAATGGGGATCGAAAAATGATGTTTTTTATGCATAAAGCCCCGTCTTCCCTGAACTCCTCTTACATTTTACACAGTAGGCTAATCATCTTTTGGGAGATGGTTGATGGTGTCCTGTAGATGTGCAGTAAGGTTTCGGAATTTTGATTTTCCCCAGGGGGGTCAAATGGGGGTCGAAAAATGATGTTTTTTATGCAAAAAGCCCCGTCTTCCCTGAACTCCTCTTACATTTTACACAGTAGGCTAATCATCTTTTAGGAGATGGTTAGTGGTGTCATGTAGATTGTGAAATATTTGTGTTTTGAGACCCCCCCCCCTCTATATGTCACATGTGTATAATTATTTGTAAACATTATTTGTACATGATTTCTCTTATAGCAATTATAAATGAACTGTAAACATTACCAAGTGTACTATAAAACGATGTTTGGTACTTCCTATTATTTCATGTTTGGTAAATCCTACACTTTCATGTTTGGTAAATGACCAAGTTTACCACGGAGGAAATATGGACTGATACGTAAAATTATGGACTCTTATGATTGAAACAGTATTTATTATGAATGTTTATTTCATTTAACTTACAGTTCAGGTTGTAAATTGATCGTAAATACCGTTTTTCATGTGTGTCTGTCGATCACGTTGTTTTCCTTTTTGGTCATGGCGATTCGGAAGATTCTAATTTACAAGGGGGGTTTAGGTTATTGTTCTCCGTCCTCTAGATAGAATGTTCTATCGTTAAAATGATATTGTCCTACGGACCCGGTTTAACGATAGAATTCGTTTCGTGTATTCGTAATGTAGCAGAAAGAAACACGGGCGATAACTCGCATAGTGGATTTACTAGGAACAATCTAGAGAGTTCCGAATGTAAACATGGAGGTAATTTGAATCGAGAGAAAAACGTTGAGAAAATGAATTGGATTTTCGTATTTATATGGATTATTTTTTTGGGATAAAAGGCATAAGCAATCTCAAAAAGGTTTGTTATGATTAATTTGCAAGTTATTTTCAGTGCAAATCCGTTTGTATCCTTCAAAATCGTTTCGGTGCGATTCTGCAATTTTTTGCTACATTACGAGTATATGGGTGGTATTCTAACTGTGGTGAGGGCTTGTACCGAGACACAGTTAGATTATTCTAACTATCCGTCCTCGAACGTCATTATTTTATTATTGTTAACTTATACGCAACTTGTATTGTACATTTTTATGCAACTTACCTTCATTGTTTATTACTATGTATTTGTTTTACGATTCGGCGTCACATTGTTCGTATTTTTCATGGTTTGTCCCACTTCGGCGATGTTGTTAGTATCGTCTGCCATTTTGGTCTATACTTTCCCTTTTGGTTAGGTAAAGCGCACTGCGCATGTCCGGTAGTTTACCCTATATAAGCGTCGCCACGGACGCTGAAGTTTCAGTTTGACTCTGCAGAACGTCTGCGCAACAACTTTCATAGAAATTGTACGTAAATACTGATATAACTAACGAATGGGGAGTTTTTACTATAGATTATATTGACCAAATAGGTTTATTAAGGAATTCAACAGTCTCTACGAAGTTATACCATAGTTTACAGTGACCAAATTGATTTATTAAAGAAAATCAACAGTTACCATTTTACCAAATCTTAATAACGTTACCAAATCATAATAGCGTGACCAAATCATATGTGACGTCCGATCTGACCAAATGTATTACATCACCATTGTTTGATTATTTGGTTATCCAGTCATCTGTATTACATTTATTCCTTTATTAAATTATTGCTGAAACTTAAATAATCTTATGTTGTGCTCTTGTTTGCCTCTGCGATGCAATATTTTACTGACCAACACAGGGATTTATCTTACCAAATCAACAAGGATTACCAATTAACAAATTACCAGGAAATTCCATATATATTGGTTACAATGAAATATATCTCCTTCATTGGAGATTTGATCAAATTACATAAGCCTCATACCTCGGGCACGTTACAGAAATTTGGTGGCAGCGGTGGGATCCAAATCCTTGATCATTTCATTACCAGAGAATCCTCTGAAGATCTCAATTTCATAGAATATTTTGATTTTGTCATATTTTTATGACATGGCAACAACAGAAGATAATGACCAAATGATGTTACTTTATAAATTCTGTGTTGGTTAGTCAGGGGCAGGTGAGGGCACAGCAGTATTAGTGGACGTTCTGCAGACTCAACTCCCAGATGGCCAAAGTAATGAAACAAGTCTGGTTAAAAAAAAAAAAATTTGATGCCACTCCTAATGGAGAAGTACCATTTATTGATTTAATGTAAAATATAACACATTTGAGAGAAATGAGCTATCTGAATCTACACAGTGTTCCAGAACATTGATGTCTGGAGTCAGTACAAATTATAGTAATTCTTTGTAGGAATGCCTGAAGAGCATTCATTTTGAGGTCAGATCAGCGAGATGAGTACTACGTGGTGGAAAGGGTGAACATTTTGGAAACCATAATTGGTACTAAAGGGCCACGGAGATGCGATTCCGTATGGAATTCACTTGTATCGTTTTCTGACGACCAGGGCCCACCGTCAGTTAACAATAGGATACTCTCGGGTGGTCTGGGTACTACTAATAGATGTGCCCGTTCATACGAACTTGGGACTACTGATAATTTAGTTGAGGCTGGTTCCTTTGGTCCTGACATTTCATTATGTCAGATGAAATCATGTTTTTCTCATAGGCCTAAGTTCAATACTGTCATAAATGGTCAGGTATGTTCGGAGAAGAATAAGTATTCTAGGATCCCATCAGGTGAGACGGCAGGTAAGTCCGCTCAAGATTCCTGCATGGATAAGCCGCCTATGGAAAGGCGTATGTTCACATTCGGCCATGGACGCATGGTCATGGTCCACCCAACCTGCAGCCCAGGGAATTGCTCAGTCTCCATCTCACAGCCCTCAGGGTCGAGCGCGTACTGCTGAGTGTGTTGGTGAGATGATTGCTAAGGATCTGATGAAATCTGCAACATTTGAAGGGAAGAGCAGTTGGAGAGATTATTTATACCTTCAATTTCAATTTAGAATTGTATCATATTTATTTATAACTTAATGATGGGAACAACAAAGTTAAAGCTATTCAGCTTGCAACAAGTTTATGGGGGCACAAATAGTGCTCATGGTGATTGTTACTGAATATATATATACAAAAGATTTATAACTATATAGTTCAAACTCTATCATAGAGGTTCAAATACAAAACTTGGTACAGAGCACAAATAAAGAATTGATTGAGAAAAAGAGATGTCAATCTCTCACTGACCTTTATAATGAATTAAAAAGTTGGTTAGATATGCATATCCAGATGCATCATCTGAAGGCCGAGAACAGTTGGCTCGGAACTGTTTTATAGATTCACTGAATAAATATGAAATTGAATGGACTGTCCACCAAGGTAAATCAAAATTTGTTGAAGATGCTGTCCAACTCGCTCTTGAATTTGAAGCCTTCCAAAATAGTAGGAAGCACACAATATTTCAGAAACATGGAAGGGTAGGAATGCAGGTGGCGCATGATGCTACCCCACTCTCAAGGGATGACGAGCTGCGTCATTTTTCTCTCAAGAAGCTGAAAATATACAAAATGACAAATAAAAAAAATCAAGTTCAATATCAAATTTGAGACAATGGTGAAAAAAACTGATGTGGCATCAAATATCATTTTATCAACGATTGAAGAAAAGAACAAAGTTGGATAGGAAGACTTGTTTAAAAAAAAAAAAAAAAAAAGTTCATTAAAGTGGGCAACTGGTATTTAAAAAAAAAAAAAAGAAAAGAAAACAAAAATGGAAAAAGGGAAAAATTAAAAAAAAAAAAGTTATTTGGTCATCTTGACTGCAGATATGCGATTTCAGTATAAAAATTGCCTTGTTACTTTCCTTATTTAAGGATACCCATCTCTGGATGAGAATTTCAGTTTAAATATACATGTAGATGCCAGTGCATTTGACATATTGAAGAATTCATGTTACAAATGTGTGTCAACTTAGAGATAAAGTTGTTGCTTACTTAAGCAAGTCACTATATGTAGTGAAATAAACTACATGTACTGTGTTATCAAAAGAGAATTACTTGGAATAAATGAGTCAGTCAAAAATTTTGACCATTTACCTACATGGCAAAAAGTTTCTCATTCGCACTGACTGGTGCACTGAGATTGGTCCTTAAATACAAAAACCTAGATTGGGAAGGTCAAGAGGCTACAAATTTTATCAACACGTGATTTCTATATTCATCATAGAGTAGATTCCCAGCATGGAAATGCTGATGGGTTGTAAAGTCATGCATATGCTGAGTGCACACATTGTGTTAAAAAGAAAATAAACTTATGATGGTCATGAAGAAAAACTTCAAAGCATCGCAGTCAGGATGATCAGATTTACACCTACAACTGGTCAGAATTTTCAAGAATCTGACATTTTTGTTTTGTAGATAATCAAGATTTACTTTAATTGTTATAATATTTGATTTGGAAGTTCAGCAAAAGAAGAAAAGATTGAGTGTAAGAATTATATACTTGGAAGAGGAATAATATTCCAAGACCAGGGTGGGAGGATATTTCTCAAGAAAGTTTACAAATCAAGTCTTACTGGTCCCAGTGGGACATACTTGTTATTCAAGACAATATTTTGTACAGAAAATGGTTTAATGCTAAAACCAATATGTCACATAACAATTGATTTTACCTGAAAAATATATACCTCAGGTCCTAACGATGTTGCATAGTGACCCTACAGATGGACACTTAGGAGTGAACAGAACTTTAGCCTAAGTCAGACAGAGGTTTTACTGGGTTGGAAATAAAACAGTTTTGTCTGGAATGTCAACGATGTCAATCAAGCAATCCACCAACCTGCACTCCTAAGGCTCCATTGAACCAATATATTGTTGGTGCTCCACTGGAAAGGGTTGCTCTGGATATTGTAGGTCCCTTGAACAGAACTCCTAAAGGAAAGTCAGATATATCAGTCATTGTCAACTATTTTACTAGATGGACTGAGGCTTTTGTACTTCCAAATATTAAAGCAAAAACAATTGCAAGAGTATTTCTCAATGAGTTTGTTTGTAAATTTGGTATTCATCGTCAAGTACATACTGACCAAGGCACACAATTTTAACTAATGTTTCAAGAGAAGTATGAAATTCTCAGAATAGATAAAACAAATTAGCAGCATCCATTCACCTCAGAGTGACGGATTTGAACATTTCAACAGGACTCTCACAGCTATACTTACAATATATATGTCAATTTCTCGGAAAGACTAGGATATAAATACTTACCTTTTGTATAACTACTGGCATACAGATTTTCAGTTTGTGAGAGCATAAAGTTACCAGTGCAGTTTGTTGATTTGGGCAGGGAACCAGCACTGCCTGTGGATCTTTTATTTGGTTGACCGCCTACAATAGATTTAAAATTTCATTATTCAACATTTACAATATTAATTGAAAATGCTTAATTGAAGCTTAAGTCACAGACAGAAATGTCATTATGATCATAATGCAAAACAAGTTTCCTTCAAGACAGAGCCATTGGCTTAATTTGTAATAAAAAGCAAAAGATTGGCATCTATCCAAAATTTACTAAAACATTGGAGTGACATTATACCATCAGTTTAATAAATAAAATAAATTTAGTGACCTAGAGTACAGGATACAGTGCAACATGACAGTGGCAATTAAGCAGTACACCTTTATCTTCTCAAAGAGTTTTATGGAAAACTGTAACATTTTCTACAAACCTTCAGAATTATGAATTAACAATAGTCAACTGACTGATTGGACATCACATATGATTGTATTACTTTTACCAGACCTGTTTACCTTTTTATGAGTGCCTTTAAGAATAAACAGCACTGGTCTATGGTTGTTTGAAAAAGTTTGATACAAGTCCACATGCAGTTTGATCAGCACAGTTAGGATAAATGCAAACCAAGACTCCTGCCTGCATGCCATAATGTTCTAGCTGTCAAGTGACACTCTACCCTACATCTTGAGTAACCACCTACAATTAGAGATCACATAATTATGAGCAATATTAAAACGGATCATCCACTCCTTGTTACAGGCATTCCAGATATATTAACCTGATTAATAAACTAATTTGTTAAGATCGCCAGAGATGTCAATTAGACGTGGTAACTGCCAATTTATACTCTAACTTGTGGAAGTTAAGGGAAACAGGAATTCTGTGTGATGCGAAACAAACTTTCTTCCTTCACAATGATGGTGCTGACTTATGGACTGTGAGACTATATACTAGGTATAAAGACTTTTATATTATTAAGGGTATTTGTTAGAATTATAAGCAACTTTGAGTATGCTTTGGGAGGGGGATGGATTTTTGAAAATATTTATTTTATTGAAAGGAATGATGACCATTTTTGTAATGGATCATGTTTTACTTTTGATATTTTATGATATGTGTAAATATAACTGTGTGATAATTCATACAATATTACCATTGATTGAATCTTCATCTGAGTGGGCCATTACTGCAAACATTACTGGATTCTGTGTCTTCTGAGTAAAAAGAAAAATTGTTTTATTTCATGTTATAAATCTATATGTCGATAATTGATATTTCGTTATAATTATTTATTACTAAATTGTCTACAATCATTACTTGTTTATACATATTTTTTTTGTTCGAGGACGAACAATTTTTCAAAGGAGGGGATGATGTGAAATATTTGTGTTTTGAGACCCCCCCCCCCCTCTATATGTCACATGTGTATAATTATTTGTAAACATTATTTGTACATGATTTCTCTTATAGCAATTATAAATGAACTGTAAACATTACCAAGTGTACTATAAAACGATGTTTGGTACTTCCTATTATTTCATGTTTGGTAAATCCTACACTTTCATGTTTGGTAAATGACCAAGTTTACCACGGAGGAAATATGGACTGATACGTAAAATTATGGACTCTTATGATTGAAACAGTATTTATTATGAATGTTTATTTCATTTAACTTACAGTTCAGGTTGTAAATTGATCGTAAATACCGTTTTTCATGTGTGTCTGTCGATCACGTTGTTTTCCTTTTTGGTCATGGCGATTCGGAAGATTCTAATTTACAAGGGGGGTTTAGGTTATTGTTCTCCGTCCTCGAACGTCATTATTTTATTATTGTTAACTTATACGCAACTTGTATTGTACATTTTTATGCAACTTACCTTCATTGTTTATTACTATGTATTTGTTTTACGATTCGGCGTCACATTGTTCGTATTTTTCATGGTTTGTCCCACTTCGGCGATGTTGTTAGTATCGTCTGCCATTTTGGTCTATACTTTCCCTTTTGGTTAGGTAAAGCGCACTGCGCATGTCCGGTAGTTTACCCTATATAAGCGTCGCCACGGACGCTGAAGTTTCAGTTTGACTCTGCAGAACGTCTGCGCAACAACTTTCATAGAAATTGTACGTAAATACTGATATAACTAACGAATGGGGAGTTTTTACTATAGATTATATTGACCAAATAGGTTTATTAAGGAATTCAACAGTCTCTACGAAGTTATACCATAGTTTACAGTGACCAAATTGATTTATTAAAGAAAATCAACAGTTACCATTTTACCAAATCTTAATAACGTTACCAAATCATAATAGCGTGACCAAATCATATGTGACGTCCGATCTGACCAAATGTATTACATCACCATTGTTTGATTATTTGGTTATCCAGTCATCTGTATTACATTTATTCCTTTATTAAATTATTGCTGAAACTTAAATAATCTTATGTTGTGCTCTTGTTTGCCTCTGCGATGCAATATTTTACTGACCAACACAGGGATTTATCTTACCAAATCAACAAGGATTACCAATTAACAAATTACCAGGAAATTCCATATACACTGTATATTGGTTACAATGAAATATATCTCCTTCATTGGAGATTTGATCAAATTACATAAGCCTCATACCTCGGGCACGTTACATAGATGTGCAGCAATGTTTCGGAATTTTGATTTTGGCCCAGGGGGTCAAAAGGGGGTCGAAAAATGACGTTTTTTATGCAAAAAGCCCTGTCTTCCCTGAACTCCTCTTACATTTTACACAGTAGCCTAATCATCTTTTGGGAGATGGTTGGTGGTGTCATGTAGATGTACAGTAAGGTTTTGGAATGTTGATTTTGCCCCAGGGGGTCAAATGGTGTCGAAAAATGATATTTTAAAAAGTGAGGTCAAGGTCAAAGGAAAATTCAAGGTCAAAATAAGTTGACGTATTAATAGCTCTTAGCAGTATGTATCAGCATATGAGGTTTGATAAATATATCTTGAATTGTTTATTCAAAACTGGTCTAGACATTAATTTTAGAAAAGTGATATCAAGGTCACAGGAAAGGTCAAGTTAAAAAAGAGTGAAGCATCGTAAAGCTTACATCAGTATGTATCATCATGTGAAGTTTCATTACACAACTTGAATGGTTTCTTTAAAATAAAGCTAAACACTAATTTAAAGAAAAGTTAAGTGAAGGTCAAAGGAAAAGTCAAAGTCAAAAAATATTGCTGCAGTTGGATATTTACATCAGTATGCATCAACATATGAACTTTGATAAAAATATCTAGAAAGTTTCTTTGAGCCCGATGGAAAGACAGATGGAAGGGTGGAGGACGGACATGACAAAAACTATACATGTATTCCTAATCATGGTGTGGCATAAAAAACTTGAATCTACATTATATGAGCATGTTCCATCTATCAAGATTATACAAGCAAATTCAAAGAATTGTGGTCCTCTCCTTTCTGTGTTTTAGTGAATGAGATACCATAATTTATGGCAGATTGTGTGTCAAATATGCACCCCTATCATATATCAATTTTTGAAAATTGGGTCAAAGGGGAAAAATCATAGCATGCTCTGAAACATTTTGTTGCAGGTTTACAATGTACATGTCAAATATGAAAGTCCTATCTCTTTTGAATCAAAAGTTATATATACAATATAATATTTTTGAAAAGTAGGTTAAACTTCTAGGTCAAGGTCACAGAGTCAAAAGTCATGATATATTTAGAAAAGTCTTTTCACATGTAATAAACATGTATAATCTGAATGCCCTTTCTTTTTTCTTTCAAAATGATCAATTTAAAATGTTATTTTTTGGAAAGTAGGTAAAACTTTAAGGTCAAGGTCTCACTTGTGTTAAAAAATCATAGTATATTTAGAAAGTTTTGTGGTAATGTGCATGTGAAATATGAAAGCACTATCTCTTATCATTCAAAAGTTATGACCAAGGTTAAATTTATTGTGACAGATGCACATACAAGCTGTCAATAAGATGGACAGACTGACAGACAAATGAGATTTAGTGTCCCCTCCCTTTCCCCAAAATGGGGGACAAGAATGCCCTTGCTGTTCTTGAGAAGAAGATTTATGATGGAAAAAATCCCCTGCATATTTCTTAACGCAAATCAACATCCCTCTCAGGAATTTTTCACTCATATGGAGACACCACAATTTGAAACATAATGAGGACAAGTTAGATTTGAGGTCAACATTCATATTAGGAGTTTTCAACCATTAAGATGTAAAGAAATATTAACTCGATCCTTCCCCTCACCCCTTCCTAGACCCCTGTTTGTTCATGTATGCAAAAAAAAAAATGTTTTTACAAATAGTTTAATGTGGTCCATCTCTGAATGATTCTCATTCCTAATTCTAGGAAGATATGTTGACACAAATTCATGAATAAAATGTCAAGTAATCTTATCATTGATGCACTTTTATTTAATTTAATGCAGTCATATTGTGAACATTTCCAGCTCATTAGGAGAGTGGGGATGACCTCTAGGGGTTCATAACCTTTATACCATTAAATTTACATAACATAATAACACAAGAAACAATATTATGTATAGTCAAATGGAAAAAGTTTCCTACTATTTAGGAGTCACATGATCATTTGTCATTACAGGGACAGGGAAGTGGATTGGGAGATCGCCCCCTCAACACCCCCCCCCCCTTCCCCCGGAATTTGCAGGACTATAATATATACTGGAGGAAATAAAAATGACTTTGGATGCCCTAAGTGTCCCTCCACCGTAGAAAACAGAGCAAACCATAACTTCTTTTTTTTCTTGCTTCTCAGGAAATTCTGGTCTGAACCCCCCCCCCCCCCCCCCCCCGAAAAAAAAATTCTGCATCTTGTAACTGAATGTAACGTTGATAATGGGGGATAACTCTTCAGAATGTGAAATTCGTCTATTGTAGCATCGGATGACCTTTGATCCTTTAAACTTTAACCTAACCGTTTGCATTTCAGACTATTTTACCCAAATCTATACCAAAACTTGTACTTACCGATTGTTATTATTTAGGCCCTGTCATCTTCATGAAATATAATCCAGTTAAAACACAAAATGAAATAATTCCTACCAACATATATGCAATGATGCACACTAGTATCCTACTGCACGTGCAGTGAAATCTAAAATGATAATGCCAATGGTAAAACTAGTACTTAAGTTGGGTACGTGACGCAAGCCCAATGTGATGCAGGTGTTTAGATACATGTATAGTGCAAGAACAAATTGAAAATTATCATTTACAAAAGATGTTTTATTTTAGCTTTGCAATCTAGGCCTATTTGCAAAAACAGACAAATAAGGTGTGTTTGTGTGTGTGTGTTGATGGGAGACGGGTGGGGGTTGACCATTAAATTGATTGTGTATATGGCAACTTTCAAGAAGTTTCTGCCTAATCAAATATAAATAAACTTTGCACATATTGAAAAATTCATCAAAAACGCTTTACACTAATTTGAATAATTATTTGTTGTTAATCTATATGAGAAAATAGATTTAAAAAGTTCCAATTATGTGCCAAAAATCCCCCCCCCCTTTATCAAACCTAATTTACATCATTAATTAAATTCTGTAGTTTAATTTCCGACTGGTAATGAATTAAGAATATGAAATACATATAAAATGGAGGCCCATGGGTCACATGGTCACTAGCTGCAGATCTGTAGCGTTATGGTTTTATATATTAATCTTTGACTGCAGATCCTGTAATGCAAAAAAGGTGCAATTTACGGCGCAATATTTTTTGCGCACTTCTGGGGAGAATTTCTCCTTTTTCCAGCATCGGTCAATTTACTACCTTTCAATCCCTAATTTTAGGCACATTATTTAATCAATCTGTATATTTTATCCATCTCCCAACCCTTTATAGTCGTCTCTACTCGAGATAAACTCGATTAAAATTATTTGTTAGATTGCTGAAAATTCACATCAAGCGAGTTTATTGCCTGTAGAGATTACTATAAATGGCTGGGAGGTGGACAAAATATACATATTGGCCAGAGAATGTGTCTAAAATTAGGGAGTGAAAGGTAGTTGATTGACTAATGCTAGAAAGTGGAGAAATTCTGCCCAAAAGTGCTAAAAAAAAATATTGCGCGTAAATTGCACCTTTTTTGCATATGGGGATCTGTAGCGTTATGATCAAAAACAAATATATAAAACCAGATCTGCAGCTACATGGTCACCTGAGCATATTATGCTCAATTTGATGAATACATGTATTATGTAAATTATTGAATTATATTGACTTTTTCCTTGGTAAAGCCCAATATGAAGAAGTGTGCATTTAGAGACAAACACCATAGTGCGGGTATTACTGTCTCATGACAGCATCTAGATAAATTTAATTTAACTATCTGAGGTTGTGTCCATATTCAATTGACTATTCAAGGCTTTGTTGTTCTTGGAAACAGATTTTTTAAGCTGTTTGCAACCATTACCCCAGAGGGGGGGGGGGGGGGGTAATTTTTAACAAACTTGAATCTACATAACTTGGGGTTGCTTCCATGTCAATTTGATTAATCATGGCTTTGTAGTTCTTGAGAAGAAGATTTTAAAGGTTTTATCCTATAAATAAATGTTCATTTTCAGAACTGTGATTCTTCATTATGTCCCCTGACCATACAACTTGAGGACGACTTGAATCAACTTGAATCTTCAACACTTAGGGATGCCTCCATATCAATATGACAAATCATGCTTTATAATTGCTGTCCTTTAGAAGATTTAGAAAAGTTTTTTCCTATATATTCCTATGTAAAACTTTGATCCTCTATTGTGATCCCCTGCCCTGACCCGGCCATGATTTGAACAGATTTGAATCTATATACATTGTAATGATGGTCGCACATAAGTTTTAACTTCTCTGGCCCAATGGTTCTTGAGAAGAAGTGTTTTAAAATAGGACACCAAATCTCCCCTTGAAAGAGGATGTGGCCCTTCAATTCAACAAACTTGAATCCACTTCACCCAAGGATGCTTTGGGACAAGTAATTGGTCCAAATTGGCTAAGCAGGTCTTGAAAAGAAGTTGAAAATGTAAAACTTATTCACTTGTATAAATATCATATTATAGTAAAAATTTTGGGGAAAATTGTGATGTATTAAATGCCATACAAAATTTTGCCCACACCCATTCCTATTTATTATTGTACACATTACTTGTATTTGGATAAAGAACAGAAAAATATTTATTGAAACTAAAATAGCTCTCATAAGGCTTCAGCAAAAAATTTTATGCAAATTAATAAGATTAATAACTTTTTAATTTCAATAATTGTTAAATTGATATCATACTTTAAAAAAAAAAACTTTAAAATTCAATGTGAAAAGATCTGCCTACATAATAATAATACAAAAACAAATATAAAACTGGATCTCCATTCACATTTCACTGAGGAAACTCAGTGCATTCATGTCATGCATTCACAAACCCCCAGTCTATGTGGTATGAATGAAGGGAGAAACATGTCACAGAATTCAAAAAACCCGACCATTCACCACCCCTTCCACTCAGCTTTTATCCAGCACAGTTTTTTTTTTCTTTTTTCAATACTGGGCATACTTTTTTCATCATTTTCCATCTATCAATAGCTCTTTTTATCTTGCTTTCAATATCTCAAAAATTAATCAAACATGTCTCTATTGCAGTAAATCGATGGGAAGTTTTCTATAGGAGATCATCTCCATTTAAACCCTGTTATAGTGTAAATGATGGTAAAGCATTTAAAAGCAAGATCTTCATCCGATACTCCCACAATAGCCTTATTATACTACACAGTCTGAAGTTGCTTCAGAGTTAAAAAGTACATTATTTTCTATTTAGCCTCATTTTAGCTCTCTCCCTCTTGTCTGTTATACTGCAAGGGTTGTACAAATCTTAATAACCACACAGACGATAAAATCCCTATAGTGTCCAATAATAGATTAGATTATATTTCTATGCTGAATGCATCAACTACTAATGCAATTTCTGTGGGTATCATATTTCTGTCATTTGAGCAGCAATCTAAGTTTTGTCTGTGCCATGTCCTATATAAATACTCTTTGAACCAGTTTTTAGGTTTTTAAATACTTGCCAATTTGTGTTACTTGAACTTTTGGATGTTCTTTCCAATTGACCTGAGCATAAAACATACCAAATTTTTACATAATATTAAAACCAAACAGCTTTTACTGCATGCTTAAAGAGAGATAACTCTTTTTTTCAAACAAATTTCAGACAAGTTTTTTTTTAGTTAATACCCAGGTAAATTCAAAGACAGTTTACCTGACTTTGTTTTTGGCTTGGAGCATAAAAATATTTTTCTTTAAATTTTAATTAAGTTGGTAAATTATGCATTAAGCTTTTAAAACCACGTAGTAAAGGGCTATTAATTTTTTTCAGATTAAAATATAAGATGCTAAAGGTTAATTTTTTCAACTTGTAATCTTAGAAGTTGTAAAAAATTATAAAGGAGCTCTTTAAAATTAGACAATGTGTATGTTACATCATTGTTCCCTAAAAGTAATTCACCCAAATTCAGATAAGTTGTGCCATTATGATCATGAATTTCAAGCTAATAATTCTATATAAATATTGCATGTAGTTGAGTGTAACATATTGAAAATTTTCACCCCAAGAAAACCATTGTCAACCGAGGCGCAATGTTACACTCAACTACATGCAACATTTATTATATTATACTGAATGTTTTATATGTAATTATTATACAGAACAATTTCTGAAAACAGTGTAGTTTTCTGTGTGAAAAGAATATCACAGGCACCTGAAGTGTGGTGTGGATAATAGCCCCCATCTATATGTCGTTCTATGTAAGCAGATTTTTTTTTTCTCTCACGTTTAAAGGATGGCCTTATACGGTATAATAAAAATACACAAGTAATTTTATTATACCATATAAGGCCATTCTTTAACCAGTATTACAAATTTTCATTTCATTAGCACTATTCTGGTAGGCTTACTGTTTTTCAATTGAGTATTTTTGCTTTTAACATATTACTTCTGTGATATGAATTATAAAACATATATTGGCAAAGAGTTTCTTGATACTAAGTTTGAAATGTCTTTATACAAGTATTTAGTGATTTTTAACTGGTCAGTGTACTTTGTTGTTTGAAATTATATAACCCTGTTTTTCTACATCAAACACTATGAAAATGTTTTTTAACTGTGACCAAAAATTTAGATTGACACAACTTTACTCTTCTTTAAAGAATTTAGAAATTTAATGATGAACAAAGAGGAATAACTCTATTCCAACTGATTCCTCCATCACAAGTTGTCAGAAAGGATTATGGGTAGAACTGACAAGTTCTAAGACCACCTAAAGCCTAGGATGATCAAGAGCTTTAGAGCCTTGTTACAGTCTAAACCACTGTCTGAAGGGAAATCAATGTGGGATGTCTCACAACTAGACTAGACAGGATTTTATATGTCCAAGTTTAATGTCTAAAACGTCTTAAACTGTGACAAAAATTCCTTTCAAAAAATTCAAATAAAAAAAAAACCAGAAAAAAAATCCCAGGGCAGGACACAAATTCTTTGTTTTTACATTTCTATAGAAATGTATTCTGTTGATTTCAGATTTTTAAAATTAATGAATATTCTTAAAACATCTAATGAAGATATATGTTGTATGAATTTAAACTAGATTTTTTTGGATTGGAATTAAAATTATGCAAGAAAATGTTCTGTGCATAATAATACTAAAAAGGAACAATTATTACTCATAAAGAGAAAAATATTGGGTCCTGGAATGTAAAAAAAAAAGATTGAGTCGGACCATTTTTAGCCAGTCGGTCAGGAGAGGGAGAGGGCAACCAAACAATTTTTAAACATCTTAACTCTTTTCATTGTTTCTACGACAACTTCTTCCTTTTACCTATGAACTGGGCAGTCTGAATTCTTCTTCATTGTTTCTATGACGACTTCTTCCTCTTACCTCTGAACCCAGGGCAGTCTGAATTCTTCTTCATTGTTACTATGACAACTTCTTTCTCTTACCTCTAAACTGGGCAGTCTGAACTCTTCTTCATTGTTTCTATGACAACTTCTTCCTTCCTTTTACTTCTGAAATGGGCAGTCTGAATTCTTCTTCATTGTTTCTATGACAAATTCTTCCTTTTACCTATGAACTGGGCAGTCTGGCCTCTTCTTCATTGTTTACATGACAACTTCTTCCACTTACCTCTGAACTGGGCAGTCTGAACTCTTCTTCATTGTTTCTATGACTTCCTCCTCTACTCCGTCATTGTTGAGTGACACTAGGGGGTCAGTTTTGTTGGCACGGGGAAGGCGGTCCCTGAGTTCCTGGTTGACCTCTGGGCTGTTATACAGGTCAGTTAGATGTGCCTGGAGCCTGCCCTCTGCTGCCAGCCGTAGTTCCCTCTCCTGCTCTATCACCTTGTCTCTGTAAAAACAAGGATTTATTCATATATATAAAGCTATAAAGACAGCTTTTCTTTTAATATTGAAAATATATACCACAGTATATGTTGGTTCCAGTATAGGTACCAGTATATATATATATATACATGATTCATGTTTACATAATTCAAGAAACTGTTTCTACTTTTCAATTTGTTTACAGGTGGCCTTACTTTTCTTGTCTTTGATTAACAGAACTGAAAACAATTAAACATGCATTCGCCTTCTGTAATATTTTTACTTCAGAAAAAATAGTAAAACAAGGAAGAAACAAACCTTCAGAAAAATCAAAATCTAGCAACTCCAAATGCTTTAGAAACTAAATAAAACACAGATTATAATTGCTTTTAACCTATCACTTTAAAAGAACTAAATAAAACACAGATTATAATTGCTTGTAACCTATCACTTTAACAGAACTTGTTTTCTTTCCATAAGTTAAGAACGTAAGATTTAATCTAGCTTTTAATAATTTCTTATAGTGAAGTTAATTTTAGAAAGAACATGGACCAATAAAAGGGATTTAATTTTCATTATGTTACAATACAAACTATCAATAGGATAAACCAAGTGAGAGATTAAACTCTAATGAAATAATAACAATCATATAAAAAGTTGTAGTGCCTCTTGGATTATCTAAGATTATGTTTTAATGCAATCCATTTGGATTAGAATAGCAACAACAATGTCATAATCCATGAATACATTAATCCACTGCATTTAAAAACTTTATAGGTCATTTCCATGATTTCTATTATTAAAAAGAAGAGAGTTCAAACTTAATTCATAATTTCCTTTTTGCTGTTTAAAAAAATAAATCAAAAAAGGATCAATTTTATTTGTGTCCTTCTTTGTACTGTTTTATGACCTTAAGCTCATAGCTGGGTCAACTACATGTATTGTGTAATGCATAACTGCACCAATATATGCCACTCAGTGTACAGCAGTTATGGGACATTATGATAAAATGAAAACAAAATATTGAAGAGAAAATTTTTAAACTTGAATATAACTTAAATATATGATTTTAAAAAATAGGAATATATGACAATACATAAAAAATATGTTAATTAATCAATGTATGATTTACCAAGTACAGTATGTTTTTTGATGGTTATATGAGAAGGATATGTTCTTATTAAAGAAAATCCAAACATAAGTGGAAACATATAAACATCAGTAGAAAACATAATTTATGGCAATTCACAATAACAAAAAATCAATTTCACACATATGTTGCCTGAAAAAAGAGCAAGGTATTGATAATATGCTATAAAGACTATTGATTCAGAATGCATATCAATCTTTCAACACTAGATACTATATAAAATGTATTCACAACTTTCTGAATGTAGTCAAAATAAATTAATATTAGAAGACTAAAACTTAGAAGATACATATGAGAAACTGTGGATACTTTGTTTTTGTTGAGCAATACATTAGTGTGTGACCTGTTCTCCTCCAATAAATTAATGTAATCCAGGAGATTAACAATTTCTGCAAAGTTCACTCTATGCTGGTTTGCACCACACATATATATCAAAGGAAGGGATACAATGACCCAGTTAATAAATAATTCTTGCGGAATAAGTTTAGTTAAGATTATATTCCACATTCACATTTCAAAGAGAAATTCCATGAAATAATAATTAGGTTCCCTTTCAAAGAATATGAAATGAGTTAATATGAATACCTTTGCCTCAAATGACAAACTGAATACTGGGGAAGATCAATATTAAAGGGCAATGTGACCAGATTTAGGGAGTTTTACCTGATCAAAAGTTTGCTACATGGATATATGCAACCTATGACAGGGTATCCTTTGGTTTTATTTTCTGTGTGCATCTCTGGTGCCATGTTGGAGTAGCTAATCTAATCTTGTTAGAAATTCATAACAAATTCAACAGGGAAAGCTAAAATTGTAAACATAGTGTGAAATTACAGGGCTGAAACCTGTGCATTTATAGAATCATTTTTATTGACTGAATATGATTTCAATATATATGAGCAAATGATCAAATTGAACTGTTTTTCCAACAACCAAGTTAAACTTTTACAATGAGCTAAACAACTTGCTCCTATTTTTGAAAAACAATTATATTAAAATATGCATAACCCATTGAAAAAATAAAAGCATGACAGTGACCTATCAAAGATTCAACTCATATTCCTCATTGTCAAAGAAAATTCAAGATGGTATGCACTAAAAGGGTAAAGTCACTAATTTACATGCAAATGAGTGGTTATATTAATGAAGCCAAACTAAATTATACTATACAAATACTTTGGTGCAAAATGTTATAAATTTTACATTGGAATTGTAAGCATAAATTACCACTGTTTATTTTTTTATTATCTTTCATCCAAATTCAATTCTTCTAAAAAACTTATCAACTGTTCCTTCTGCAAAACTCACTTTTCTTGTAATTTCATTAAGATAATAAAAACAGCTCATTATTTTCTGCAAGTACACATTTTTCTCCCAAAATTCAATAGCAGGGGCAGTGAGGTAATCCCTAGCTCCGTTCATATATGATATAGTGATCTCCACAGACAACATGTACAAAGACTGGAAATTTGAGTTGAAATCTGCATTTTGTTCCAATGAATTTTATCAGTCCATGTGAAAAAATTCTAAACTCCCAATAATTCTTTGTGGTAAATAGCAACACAGTGGCTTTAAAGGTTTAATGCAATTTTGATGCCCCATGTGCCGAGAAAACTATTTTTCCTCAGTAAACATGACTTTGTTCATGACGTCATAATATTTGTATCATTCAATGGCTCAGGAATTTCCAATTTTGTCAGAAAAATCAGAGAAGTTAGGAATCTTGATTCTAATGCATGGGAAGTTTGCAACATCAGAGAATTTAAAAAGAAAAAAGATAAACATGTTACATTCGTGTACAATATACAGCAAAAACCTGTTACTGGTGTTTACTGAAAAGTGTAACATAATAAACAGAATTCAAAACAACATTTGAGAAGGTGAGTTCAGTTTTGCAAAAATAAATTATGAACTGCGGGGCTTGCCCTCACAGTTTTACAGTCGGACTTATTATATAAATAATAAATGTAGGATACGTTGTCACTGAATTTTAAATACATTCTTAAAATATTGACAGACTGGAATGAAGATAAATTGAGAGATGCAAAGACATCCAAAAAAAACATTTTAAAAGTGTCTGAGATTCATAGGAAAAATATATGTTCTGCAGATATTGAGATATTAAATGTTCAACAGCTGTTCAAAAAAAGAAAAAAATTAAAATGCTTTAAAAATCATGTCAATAAGATGCAAACAAGACCGTATAGCCTTTTCTAATATATGTCTTGTATTATGATATCAATCTATTATATTTTTGACAGTGTTACGATATTAAGCCTATTCAGGACAGAACATGCACGTCATCAAAGATGTTCCACGCACCTGTCATCGAGTTCATCTTGTAAATCCACTAATTTCAACCGAGTATTTTCCTTTGCTCTGCGAAACTCGCTGATCAATTTCTTGTCATAATCGTTCATTAATTTTTTAGCCTTTTCAGGCGATCTGTCTAGTTTTCTATGATATTTAATTTCTGGAATCTCATCCAAATCTCCCTCATCCTCCATCTTGAATCCTGTGTAAACTGACACTGCATCATGGGAAATTCTAATAGTCAACCTAACGCCGTGAAATCGATTATTCCGGAAATCAGGTTAAAATTACAGATTTTAGGAATCAGTAATAAACTTTCAAGTAATACAGACTTTATGTCACGAGTATTTAGAAGAATGGTTAGCAGGGTTAGTGTTTTTGGTATGAACCTCAAACATTTGAAAAAAAAAAAAAACTTTAATGATGAACCTCCTTCACCAGTAAAAGGAAAAAAAAAAAAAAAAAAAAAGAAATGAAGAAAAAGGAAAAGGAAAGAAATAAAACATACACATCTATTTTATTTGAAAAAAAAATTCAAGAAAAAATTCATATCATGGGACATATAAATGTGAAAAGAAAATAACTTACTTTCCATCACATTACGTACGATAATCTTCCATGAAGACGACAAGATAGCAAGTTAATAAAAGTCCAAACGTGACTTAATTGACGATCACACCCCAGATAGCCCTGTCTTTTACAGTGGCATGTATCTACAGAACTTTCTTGTGCATTTAACTGCAACGTTTATTGTTCCTATTACACAATGTACAACAAAGAAAAAGTTTACTATCGAAAACGTGCTTTGTTATTTTTTAAAAGGTCCATTGAGCGCCCTAAAGGAAAACCAAGTCTCCTAATGTTGTCAATTGACAGATTTTTTTTTATCATTGGTCCTTTAATAGGAACAAATGTTCTTTTTGCTATGCACAATGATAGAATATTTAGGAGGACAATAGTGCTCTTAAATCTTATGTAAAGACTTACATTTGACGCTTATTAATAATTTTCTCTCTATAAGTATACTTTACAGCTAGGGAAAAAAAACTTTGACACACTGGCATTCAGAAATGTATGAATAAAAAGTTTTATATGTTTGCAAACGCTATCCATATAACAGACAATTGGTATAAAATCAGACCATATAATATGAGGATGGCTGCTTCCCCACGCCTGACCCCCCTCTCCTTTCAACCTAAAATATTACTTTTCACTATTTTGGTAATGTTTCTTGAAAAGGTGGTTGATCCTCGATCCTTTTTTATGCAGTACACTAATACTGGGTAATGTATGAATAAAATTTGGTTCTAAAAGGAGTTGGAACCTGACCCAACCCCCATCCCCCAATCCTCCAAGAAACAGGATTTTCGAATTTTAACAACTTTCCCTTTTCCTTTTTTGGGGGGTGGGGTGGGGGTGACAAACATTCCAGATAAGATTTTTTGTTTTCTCTGGTTGCCTCCTTTCCAGAACGATGCTACATATACATGTACCTTCCTGCATATAATAAATAAATATATTATAAAATATAATATAAATATAATAAACAAAATAAATGTTCCATAAACCACTCAATCAACTTAGCACAATTAACTGAAAGACGGCAAAATTTAACTTAATGTAATCGTGCGAGTGAACTAAAGATGATTGTACATATATGTTTTTGTAAAACCCGAAAACTTGGACCCGCCTAAAGACAGTGAGATAAACAACAAATGATAAACATGGTTGAATTTTATACCCCCGCTTGTAAAGAAGGAGGGTATTATATACTCATATAGAAATCGGTATGTCAGTCCGTCTGTTACGCTTTGGGGTACTCATCTCTTATCCGCAACTCCTCACATACCACTGAATGAAATTTGATAAAACTTTCACTAAATCTTTATTACATATTGCCATTTTGACCTCCTATTTTACTTTTTGACCCGACACATATTTTGGGTTTCCCACAGCAAAACATGGACACTGCCATTATATTCATATGGGAGGCGGAGGGAATCATTTAGTGAGCTCATTGCTCACAGTGCCTCTTGTTTCTTTCTTTAAACTAGTTAGAAGTAGTAATACATATATTGCAGAGTTTATTTGATTAAAGAAAATATGTCAAAAAGGACAGTACAGGTATTTTTTTATACGCGTCACCATGCATGAAAAGTTCATGACACACCTTTCCCATGTTGAAAAATACTGAGTACTGTCGTCATCAACACAATTCAACGAACTCTTTTCTGTGTATGTTAAAACTTAAAATTTGAATGATTCATTTGAAATGTTTTTGATCACTATAGATAACCCTCAACGGTCCATGCCTCAGTTAAGCCGTTTCTGCAGGGTAAGGCCGAGCTGTGCGCACTCCTAGATCTCTACATCCTGGTCCAAGATGACAAATCTCGGAAAATTTGTTTTGACAATTTAAATAAAATGGCAAAATAATCAATTTTCCAGAGGACTTTGACATGTATCAGTTGTATATATAAGCCAATTCCAATCATATACTTATGTATTATCCTAGATATTGTAGGCTTATCTGTCAGAGAGATAAACAGAGGGTTCAAAGGTAAACATCTTTCATCTTAAAAGCTTATAACTGCTCGTATTTTTGTAAAATCAGACAGGTGTAAAGCTTTCCAATGATGCAACATGTTGTTATAAGTTTATGTCTCAGATACCATTAAAAGAAAAAAAAAAAACATTGTGAATGTAGACCTCTAGTATAAATGCTAGTATCTCGACAGAAATGTAGACAACTAGTAGTAAATATTTAAATGTGTAAACACATCGTGTAATGTAATATCTAAAGAATTATTATTAAATCCGGTAAATTTTACATCTCGAAATGCGACAGTGTCAAGTCATATTAACCAATTAAGGTTTCTCAATTTGGGCTAAATTCGTAGCAAATTAACAATAATCTTCTAACTCAAACTCTGTATAAAACAGGGAACATGGGATCTGAAGTTTTTAACCTAACCTCCTCCTCAGTCATTGCTCAGTAATACACATGGGCTTTGAAGATTAACAGAACAAGTTTCTTTGATAGTAACATATAGCATGCTTTCAAAGACCTAACTTGACTGTATGTAAACCTTAAATTATAATAATACACCATGAGGAAAAAATGCATGCACAGAGTATACACATGTAGCAAAATACTCGATTAAGAATGATATGCTAGAATATCGCTATCAATAAAGATTTTTTTCTGCTGCAGATATGATTAAACGATCTGAGAATCCACTCTATCTGTGTCTGATGCTGATGATGGTCAAAGAGTCATTTCCGTGGGACCCTGACGCCGGACTAGTGACGTCATGGACTAAATATCCCAGGGTCAAGGTCACAGCTTCGTCCTCCACCGGAACATCGGACCCGCTTTCCGTCATCGACGATAACGACAATACCCAGTGGGCGTCCGGAAGCTGTCTCCCCAGTGGCTTTGTCAGTGACCCGGAACAAAACGTTCTGCATGGTCTGTGTCAGAACAATTATCACTGCACCGTGTCTGACAGTCCGGATGTTCACAAAGCAACTGATGGCGATGCATCCTACACTGTGGCAACCATTAATCCATCACAAAGTTTGCCGGACGCCAAACTCGTTATTAGCCTACCAAACCCTCAGCCGATCACTTTTTTAACCGTGTGGGGAATCTACAGTCATGGAACAACAGAACTGTCCCTTATCGACAATAACAACATCCGCCATAGTATCAGAACTTTGACGTCCAGTGATAACTATAAACAAATTTCATTCAGCAACATAACATATACTGTTGCTCGAGTAGAATTTGTTTCTGGGCAGAAGTTTCAAATCCGAGAGGTCGCCGCTCTTGGAACTAAGGGCTGTGTTGCCAAATTGACCCTTGACCTTGGAGAAACACGTATGATACAGACAATTCGATCGCGGCACTGGGCGGGACCAGGCACTGCTTCATCATTAAAATTAAAGATTTCTGAATTCGGGAATTCCTGGCTGTCGGTAGATTTAGACCCTAACGCCATCAACGCAGTAGTCACGAGATTACCGTCTGTAGCCAGAGGTCGTTATATTGTTTTTGAGTATACTCTTATACAAAAACCATACAATAAGGTGTACCTGTGGGAGGTTGACGCTTGGGATGAAAATTCTGTTTGGGGAATCCGATCACCATCTAAACCACAGCAAAACACCCTGAGGTCACTGCTTGGGGTCAACGGAATCTGGGGCTGGGGGAACAATAAATACAGCTCATCGCTTAAATCTGGAGAGGGGCCCGATCTGTACAACAAGGTGGCCTCTCATGCCAGAAACTATCACAACATGGACTGGGATGTATTAGACCCGGATAATGATCCCGAATACTCCAAAATGGCGGCTGGTGGTGGGACCAACGCTAAGTCGTGGCTGAACTGGGACACAGAGTACAAAGCATGGCGAAATGCCAGTCTTAAGATCGACGTGTCTGTCCAATTCAGCAATTTCCAGCAAGCTAGGTGGGATAACCCGCAGATATCTGCTTATAACTATGGGAAGCAGTTCGCCAAGCACTTTGGTCCCGTGGTTGGTAACGGTATAATTGACGCAGTGGAGGTAGGCAATGAACCTTGGTCTTACGATGCTGTATTCTATAAGAACCTGCTTCAGAGTATGTCGGCAGGAATTCGAAGTGTAGATGATCAAATAAAAGTACTCCCTGGAGCATTTCAGGCCCACGAAAAGAGAGCAGCGAATAACTACATAGGAACTCGTATAAATCCACAGATAGCGAAGAACCTGAGTGCTATTAACTTTCATACGTACAGCTATGTCTCCAGTTTTACTGGAGCGAGGGTGGGCGTTCACCCTGAGCACCCCGAGTCTTCTTTTAACAGCCTTAGGAATATAGTAAGATGGCGGGATACTAACCTCCCCAGTCACCCGTTGTGGGTGACCGAGTGGGGATGGGACGCACCAACAGCGGGAGAAAGCTGTTCATTTACAGAATGTGTTACCGAGGCAGAACAAGCTGTGTACGGAGTAAGAGGACTATTAATCTTGTCCAGGTCGGTGGTGGACAGGGTCACGTGGTTTTTCTATGCCAATACTAAATGTGAACATCTCTATTGCCGAAGCGGCCTAACAAGTTCTCCTACGACTGGATTCACCAAACGACCGGTTTTTCATGCCTTTAAGGCTTTACTAGACTTTCTTGGCGATCTTTATTTCCAGTACGCGCTGAATGAAAGCGAAGAGAGTTACATCTATCTCTATGGAGACAAAATTCACCATCAGGAATCATCTGATGAAGAGGTTAAAGTCAGAGGAGCGAAATACATGGTTCTGTGGAAACCGGAAACACTGCAAGGTGGCGGAATCACGCCTCTTTTCTACGTGTTTCCACGTGGCTCACACCCAGTTCAAGCAATAAGATTTACCGGAAATAATACACCGTATGCTAACGAACCGCTTGCATATCAGCCAGGGATTCAAGGTAGCCTTACTTTGAACGTGACGTCATTTCCTGTTCTTATAGAACTTGCACATAACCCAGTAGCACCGGTTGTTGGATTCTAGTTATAGCAGTGTACCATTCAAACACATTCCAAAAAGAAATTGTCATCAAATAAGAAACATTGTAGCAAGTACATGTATGTAAGAATTGTTATGGTTTATTCTATTTCATATGCATTTTTACATGAATTGTCAATTTTTCTCAAAATAAAACTGCTAGACTAGATTTTTTTATCATTCAATGTAAAAAAGAATAAAAGATATATTGCTCTATACAAAGAAAAGAAAAACTAAACTAAAAACCTACCTTATTTTATTTTACCCACACTAAAGGGGCACCTGTCTGGGACCTGATGTAGTATTTCTCTGTTCTTAATTCAGAAGCTCTATCTGCTATGTTTACCAGTGACTTGTTTACTATCACAGACTTTCTCATATTGTACCTAACTTTCTATGATATGATGGTGATATCTCTTATAACAAACACGAATTCTATAGACTAACAACGTAATCATTTATCACTCTATAGATTGTACAAATTTTATTTTTAAGATCGTGGACTCTAATGAAGTGGACAAAATGTGAAGAGATTGATATTCAAGTATATACTAAAGAGTACTTCTTATCTAAATTAAACAAATGATACTATTCTATGTAATATTGACTCAGTTGATTTCCAGCAAAGACTCTGATACGTGAGTGACTGGTTTTAGCACTATTCTTCGAGGAAGTGGTTCTCCATAATTCGTAGCCCAGTCACGTGGCTTCAACTTCCGGTTCCTGTCTTTCATTTCTTTCACCAGCTGTTGTAAACCCCGTTCTCTATCATGTATAGAAATTCTGGCGTGTGGTAACGATAACTTTGGAAGCTCATTTTGTTCGTCAAACATAGATTTTCTGCTAGGTGGACGCACTTTTGAGCACCGACTCAACAATGTATCATAATTTCTTAACACCGAGAAGCTCTTCTCTCTTTCATTGATTCCAATTGCGTGATAAGTTACTGGAAGATAACACGGGAAGTAATGACACCTGCTGTCGTTACAGTATAGACACTCGCCACGCCCTCCCAGCGATAAATCACTCTTGGAGGGGGTTGAACAGCCAAGGAATCGGGGTCTAGGCAAAACCGGAAGTTCTGGAGATTTTCTGTGCGGCGTTTCCGGTGGCAATCTTGAAACTTGGTTATCTTCCATCCTTTTAACTTTATCTTCAATGAACGTGGTTTCTCTCTCTATTTCTCTGCTCTCCCTCAAATAGTGTTTGTTCAGAGTTTTAAGCTGTCGTTCCAGCTGAATTTTGGCTACACTGAGGAGTTTCTTGGTGCGTCGTGACGACATCTGTTCTCTTTTATGCATTTTTGTGTTTCTGTCCATGACTTCTCTTTGTATACCCGTGCAACCAGAACATTGACTGAAACAGTAATTTTTTTCAGTATATCAAATTTATCAATTCAAGTAAATGATTTTTCAAGTTGAAACTTTGATTTCGAAAAGGTTCAACAATAATAAATACAAATATGTTTGTCTGACTGTCGGAACAAAGAAATGCTGGGTAAATAATTTTCAAAACTTACAACTTGTGGTTTGTTCGACTCGGAGACTTCACAGTTAGTCCCGTTTGTTCTCTGCTGGTTAGACCATCCCTATTGGTGGTAGCACTGGAAGATAATAATGTAGATCTGTGAGTTGTTAGACCAGATCTTGGCGAGGTCTGTGAGGGAAGGGAATCCCTGGGGGTCATTGTCATTAATCTAACACTTGTTTATCTACCAGACCTCCAACGCGTTCAGCCTTATGTAACAAGCACATATACATCAGGGTAAACAAATCTGATACGAATCTTCCTGACAAACGACATCACAAAAGATGGACGTCATCATAAATATATCACATGATAAATCAATTGATTCTATCTCCAAAACAGTTCCGGTGATTTGTGTTTTTCACCATGCAGATACACTATTTACAGAAGTTAGTTTATCAGAGTCTACTACCCCAAAACGAAGTCTTTCAGAAATCTCATAGACTATAATAAATTGTGGCTGAATTGCATGACGACTTTACGAACTGTGAAGAACACAATAGAATTTAAATGTTCAGCTGAACAAACGTTTTAGTTGTCTGTTGTGAACCCTTTATTTGACTGTTAGAGACCGTTAGAATACTGTCCTAAGTAGGCGAACATTAAAATGAAATTTCTTTTGAAAATATTATCTTGTCTCATCGCTACAAAAAACTTTATAAGCTTACTTAACGAACTTAAACATAATTTATTTACTTTTATTTTTTTTATTGTAAAAACTTTCTCCTTTTAATTTGTTCAATTAGATGAAATTCTAAGCTGACAATAAAACAAAAATAAGATGTTAATGAATTTGTAATTCGTAAAGAGAAGAATACAACTGTATATAAATAGAAGTGATGTTTTTAGAATTTTTTTGTATACTATGAATTAAAATTCTAAGAGAGAGAGAGAGAAAAAAAGAAATCCTAAAGAACTGCTTTCCTTCTTCTTGTCTAGATTAAGTTTAGGAGAACAAACTTACCTTACATCGTTAATGCATCTGAAGGAATGGATATTCAAAAATATATTATATCATAGTCGTTTGACAACAAAACCCTTAGAAATAGCGCCAGATCCCAGATAATACCACTGTATACATAATTAAGCCACCAGTCCATCATGTTCTGTATTTGTAAAGCTTTCGCGAGCATTCAAGAAAACTTTCATTAAAAAAATACTGGGGTTTATTTATTTATTCATTTTTTTTTTGTTGGATAACGGCACGAATATTGACAGCACTGGATCTAACCTCTATTAGAATGATAAACCTACTTCTGTCAATTGAATATTAATATTTATGAAAAAAAAAAATGAAAAATCTCTTGTATTATACTTGTAACTTACCGAAGTGTATGCGAGCCATTGATCTTGACGTCACAGTGCGTGTTCGTCATAATTCATAATGATGTCATAATAACATCTACACATGCTCTAAACGTTGAACCTACGTCGTATGACGTCACAGTAAATATTATAATTTATCTAAACCTGTCTCATTAAATAACGGTGATTATGTGAATGGCATGCAATAAATCTCTACCTGTCAACTAAATATCTTGTTGATATGTGTCCGAATTTTAGATTTGTACATAGTGTTTAAGTTTGTTCTACCTAGTCCTGATATGCAGGTTGGAAGAATCTCTCTGTAAAGGTAAAAACGTGTCACTTAGCTTTTTGTCTCACCTTGTCTCAGGATCAGACTGACACTTAACTAAAAATTCTAACCCAGGATCTGATGTCACTCTCAGTGCCATGGTTAATGTATATTTTAAAATCAACCATCAATATTGGAGTTATCTTCAGTTTTGTATTAGAGGTCAGTTAACTTATTACCGGAAGAAAAAGAATTTATCATTTGCTTCATTGATTTCTTAAATTTCTTTTTTCTTTAGTTTTTCAATACACATGCAAACAGTTATTTTTCATGTCAAAATGAAGGAAATGAAGCGATATCGAGGCCAACTCCAGGCTCTTAAAAGCAATTCAGAGTTGTCTCTCTTTCCTTCTTTGAACACTGGTGCTTAACATTTCATGTTTTGCTGCTGCATCAATTTAATTGTACCTGTAATAATTTATAAATTCATAAAAGGTTCTGACACGAAATGTCACTCAAAATATTAGTGCATAAGAAATACAAAGATATTTCACCCAATCTTCATATTTAATAATTCATTACCTCCCATGTATATTGAGCTTGAAATGAATATAATCAGTACCTGACACATCTGTTTCATATTTGGATATCTTTCTAGAAAAAAAACGTTAATGGTAATCTAACAACCAAGCACTATGATTTTAAAACGTCATGAATTTAACTTTTCAATCCTCTACATATGGCGTTTATATATCTCAGTTGAGTCGATACGAAAGAGATGCTCTACGTATGAACAATACGTATACGTAAAGGATTTATATTAAGGCTGCTTTTAGAAATACTGGAAGGAAAGAATTCACTACAACAATTGTTCACCAATCATAAAATTAAATTATAAAAAACAGACATCGACAGATTATTTTAGTTATTTCTCGATCACGAGAAGGTGCATACGATGGGTGTGATCGGTCGGCAGAGGATGCTCTCTCCTCCATGGCATCTGGTTTCACCTGTGATGTTTTAGAAGTCCATGTTTGCTCCGCTCCTATTTTGTATTGTCTTATGGACTTTTGAGCTTGAATACTGTTTGATATCGCCACATATTTCATTATATCAATGGTGCATTTTTAAAAGTGAACGTGAATAAATGGCCAGAAAGACTACCTAATGTTTTTGAAATGTACTGATAACTTAGAAACATTCCTTTTTGTTCATTGTTGTGTTTTAAAATTTAAATCAGATCTGTGATAAAACTAACAGTAACCCTATGCGTATTTTATTATCGTAAACGAGGATTTTTCGTGTGATTGTCTTTAAGATAATTAGGCCTTTTATGTCTGTTTTAAAATTTCCAAGACAATTCTATTATTGGAAAATGAACGAAATGGAGGTATAAATATTGTATAAGAAAATACACAATGACTCAAAAATATTCTTTGTTTTGCACTGAACATTTTGCATCATTAATAATTTTCTATACAGTGTGCGTCAAAAAAGTCAACCCCACTTTTTTTTTCATTTGTTGAGATGACTGTAGTGTAAGAATAAATAATAGTCCTATCATATTAATACAACACATATCTAATTTTAATCATATATTCATATGAAAGTAAAATTATTTTCCAATTAATAGCTATATTCTTTGTCATAAAACAGGGTGATAAAAAATACATGTTAATATCCTTTGATTTTTCTAATCATACTTTTTTGTCACTATCTAGATTGTGATTTATAATTGAGATAAGGATGAAATCACACCAGCGTATCTAATGTTAATTCAGGGATCAAAGGACTCATTAGTTTCAATTTGGTATTCTATGTATATGCTTATGGTCGAAAAGATTTTGAATGATTTGCATTAAATGAATAACCCGTCATAAATGAAATGCACCAAATTAAACAAACAGTATACATAATTTACAAGGAAGTCAGCTTGATTGATATATTCATTTGACATTAATTTGGTTTTCACCGGGTTAATGTTTTCTGCAGTTTGGGTTTTATCATTTATAATTCATAATTCTGTGAGGCGGACTGCGGAACAGTCCACTTTGCAGGTGACATCACAGGGGCTCGTCACGACTTCTTTGTCTCTTTTAAATTTACTATACTATCTAAAATATGGCGTCCTTAGTGGGAGAATCTACAAGACACAAATAAAATCAGTACATTATTCACAGGCCCGTAGAAAGCAATTTTAGTTGGGGTGGGATTTGGTGGTGGTGGTGGTGGGGGGATATATTTTCTGTTAGGGGCAATATCTAGGACCAAAATTTCCAAATTATCATTAAGTCCAATGCTGACTGACGTTTTTCATGCTAACTGTTAAGCGATTATTTCCCCCGCTTGATAAGTGGGAGGGTATACATGTATAGTGATCAGGGTGTCCACCCGACCTTCCTTCCGTCTATCTGTACGTCCGTTCGTCTGTTATGCTTTGGGGTATCAATCTCTTATCTGCAACTCCTCCTATACCACGGAATGAAATTTATTAACTAAAGACTTTCATAGATTTTGTGTTACATAGAGTGTCATTGTGCACCTTCTATTTTATATTTTGATCCGACACATATTTCGGGTTTACCGTAGCGAAATATTGACCTGCCAGTCTTTCTTTAATATTGAAGGGTACCCATCTCTTATCCGCAACTCCTCCTTTACCACAGAATAGAACTTAATGGTACTTTCATGGATTCTTTGTTTTGTTCCATAATGCCATGCATTGCGTACCTCCTATTTTACTTTGTGATCTGACACTTATTTCGGGTTTCAGAGCAAGAGATGCACTTTGTCATAATCATAATTATATGAATTGAATTTTAAATTGATTTTTTTTGTTATTTCCCGATCATGATAAGGAGCACACAGCGGGTGCTACTGGTCGGCATGAGATGATTACTCCTTGATGGCACCTGATCCCACCTTTGATGTTTTAGAGGTCCATGTTTGCTCTGCTCAAATTTTGGATTGTTAAATGGACGCTTGAGCTCGAATACTGATAGTTATCTCCTTATTTTTCACTTTAAACAGGACAAAAACATGGACCCCTGGATACACCAGAGGTAGATCAGGTGACAAGGAGGAATGAACTTCCCCCATCGACCTGACTCAGCGCTGATAGCATTTATGTATATTGATCACGTATCTATAAATGTTATCCATAGTCAAATTTAGTGTTTGAGGTCTGCTCAGAGTGACCACTTCCTCTGAAAGAACAAAAGAAGTTTGTGATCAATCCTTCAATGGCAACTGTTTTGTGTGTTTTCTTTTTATCTAAAATGTACACAGGCGGATAGTTTTAAACAAAACACTATCGATGTATTTAACCTTTGTATATTTAAATAAGATTCAAACTCAAAGTTCTGATGGACTTTTAGGCATAAAGGCTCTTCTTAATCTTGAATGTGGATTGAGGAAAGAGCATGAGCAATAAAAAATATCAGTTTTACAATCACTAAATTTCAAATACTGGAGTACCAGGCTAGATATTTGAATTTTTTGTTTTGAAAGTGCAGCTAATATGTCTTTTCCCCCTCCATTCACAAAGAGAATTCTTAGAAGAAAAAAAACATGAATGGGAATAAAATGTATTCTTTAATTTTATTCTTTTTTTAATCTCACGTTGTAAAAAAGTAGGATACTTGTGACGCACACATTGCGTGCAGAAAGGTACTTAGACTCTTTTATGCAACAAATATTACA